CACTAAGCATCGACACTACAGAGCTCTATTGTCACGGTGAGGGAGCGCAGCCGCCTCGCGAAGAAAACCGCTGACAATACTCCTAGCTATATTTGCCCAAAAAGTGCCAAAGGGAGTGAAATAGTTTGTCATATGTGTGACAAAATGGAATTACAGAAAAAAGGAATGCTTAAATCTCAAGTCTCTGATTTAGGGAATAGTATAAATGCTGGGGTAGTTTTAAGACAAAATTCTAAAGTAATAATGGGCTTTCGAATATGCCTTCATCGGTAATAACCGAACGGTTTGGATAGCCGCACGATTTAGGATCACATAAGCAAATATTAATGACAAACGTTTTTTTCGATCGCCAATTCTCGTAATAGTCTTGACTTTTCTGTCCCGTTGGCCTGTACTAGTTATGTATAAGGAGCATAAAGCTGCTGTGGCGTCCAGCTTATCATGCACTGTTTCAGATGGCAAAAGAAGACATCGACATAGTTCTCTCGAGGTTTTACCAATGTGCTTCTGAACGCGCTTTTTAATTTGTGTTAAATTTCTGTGCATCGACTCTACTTTGCAGATGGGATGCTGAAAATTCTCCTGTGAAACAAGTGTCGAGGTAAAAAGCAAATGGATACGCCCAAGCATCACAAATAGATTATCAGGAATTTACCTGCCAGGTCGCACAACCCGACACGTCGTACAGTATTTATGGTCATCTGAGTGTCCAATATTGAGCCTGTACGACCTGGCGGGTTGTGCGACATTGCTAGTTGAGAGTTTACTCGGTTTCTGTATCACTTATTATCAACTAGCAGAGATGTGCCCCTTTTTTTTTTTTTTTTTTTTAAACTGGAACATGACGACTACGTATTTGTGCTACCTGAATATCTTAGCGATTCTTCGCCTAGAAATGCCACTTACATCAGAGCGTTTCTTCTTCGTCTACTAATAATTGATTTGAAAGATTCATTCAATGCAACAAAGCAATTTATTGCTAACAGATATGTTCAAGGTTAAGCATCACACACTCTCGCTACATATGCTCTTGGTTTAAACATTGTGTTTTATTAATTCACCTGCGGTTTCTTTTGATTAATATGTGGAATGATTAACAAACTCTGCGCAGAACGTATGGCAATACTAGTATCACAGATAATATAATATAGTAAAAATAAGGGATATAACCGATGCACGATAATAGTCGATCACTATAAAATATGGTAAATTGGGTATGGGGATGGGTTGGGGTTACACGTATCCGAGGAATTAAACTGAAATACACTAGAGAAATCTCTACAGTGGGATATGGTCATCTTTTCAATGCTGCAGTAAAAGGAACATGCCTCGAATCTATTAATGTTTTTATGGCCAACAGAAAGAACATATCTCATTACTGTCATTCGTTGCTTCAATGACTTTAACTTTGCGCCAATCATTGTAACGTAGGAGGGTCGTTACCGTGATACCTATTACTATTACTATATCTTTTCACGCAATTAACAAGGTGTAACTAACGCTAACTCGGTGGTTACCTTTTTCGGATTATCTCTTTCTTCATTCGTCCACCTACTAATTTGTGTATGATCAACACCTGAACATTTCCCGAGACAAGAGCGATTCGTTGCTGTAGATAATGTATATTTCATTCGCCTGTAAGATGCACATAGAATATGTGAATATAGCTTTTATTCTTGGACGGTGCAATAAACAGCACATTTAAAATTCTTTGTACGCGGAGGCTTGTATTATTACGGTAAAATCAGGCGTATTATCAATATAAGGGAATTCAATGTGAGCACACAAATACAATTCTGTAATTAGTGCGGGACTATTCGCCGATCATTTATGATAAGACCCCTGAGGCTTAGCGGTAGTAATGTTATGCTAGTACTAGGATTATGAATGTTGCAAGCGTGACAATTAATACTCGGGTTAACCGAGCCTTGAAGTTTTGAAACAATTATTAGAATTAGTATTAGTGTTGTTGTTGTTGTTGTTGTTGTTGTTGTTGTTGTTGGGAATAAAAAGTAACATTAAAAGTATCGAGTCCCAAAAAGGTACAGCATCTCGAGATACAACGTCATTTACACGATTGTGAGATAAAGTAACTGTGATACAAGATTGTAATTCCAGTTAATTACTGTCGTTGTACGCTGATCAACACAATCAATAAATTTCCAAATCTGATCGGTCAACAAAACCTTATTGTACTCTATTGTACTCTATTCGCATGCTGTACGCTTCTCTCATATGCAATATTCTCCGTTTGGCAACCGTTTCTGCGGTTTAATAATCCTGAATTGATTCGACGAATATCATTCTCTGTTTGTAAGACAGCAGTACAATATATTCTCTCTGCGGAATACATTCCTTGCAAATGCATTGGTCATACTTGCAAATACATTCAAATGCCCACATGCATGTCAGCCAATAATCTTTACTCGGCTATGCATTTGTCGTCTAAACTGCGGATACTGCGGGTTCGGGTTGTGCAAGGTGTTTTGGGCAGAGAGTTACGCAAACGTTTTGACGTTTGACATCGGCCCTTGGCAATACATCAAATTAATATCAACGCATCCGCAGCGGGATAAGGTTATAAACCGCAGTCCGTCATTACATCATTGCGGTACATTAACACGTTGATAAAAGCGCTAGAATCTTGCTCTCCATCCTTCCTCACTCTTACTCAGAGTTCTCTTACGATAATCACTAAAATCATAATCAACTCTTCCTTACTAATACTACTCTTTCTTACTACTGACAACAATAAATCAATTTTGCAATCATGGCGGATTATTCGACTATATTTGCACCTTTTGTCGAATTATTCAACCAAGGACAAGTCCAAACGATTCTATTAGCATGGCTTCCAACAAAGCTTGAACCCTTTCTGTCTGGTATAATGGCGGTCGACATGTTTCTTACTGGTGCTGCTGCCACCGGTCTGACCGCTCTTCTTATTGCACTTTACACTCTCTCTCTGCAATTGTGGAACGGTCAAATCGGTTACAATAATCGCGTTACCGTCCAAATCGAATATTACATCACCGGCACGTGGGGCGATCAATATACTTCCATATTTTACGAAGCGCTGTCATGGATAATTAGCAAACAAACCAAGAGCTTGAACAAAGGCTCCTTTATCGTACATCCAACTAACGACGACACAAATGCTAATGATGACGAGTGTGTTCCTCCTGGTTTTATTATCCTACCAGAGAAAGATCAGCAAGTAACAATTGAATACAACAAGAGGAAATTCAACGTGACTTACACTATGCCCGAAGCCGAGCAAACCAACAATGAAAACAGCAATCGAAACTCAGACTCGGCAAAACCAATGCCTTCAATCTTTTTGACTACCGTTGAAGAAACTCGTACCGACGTTGATTACATCACTGAATTCCTGAACGAAATCACCCACTGCTACCTGGAAGACCAAAGGAAGAACAGAATCAGATCAAGATACGAACGAAATGGTTCATACTGGTACAGGGTGCAAGCATTATCCTCAAACCGCGGTCTAGACACTGTTGCATTGGATAAGAAAGAGGAAGAGTTGTTGAGACAGGAAATTGAAGCTTTCACCACTGATAAAGACTTTTATATGAGGATAGGGATGCCTTATAGACGTGGTATATTGCTCACTGGTAAACCTGGTACTGGGAAGACTTCCCTCGTAAATGCCATTTCCTCCCAACTCTCACGAGATCTCTACTATGTCAATCTCAAAAACATAACAAGCGACAACGAATTGAGTGCAACATTCAGTTCAGTTCCAGCCAATCAGATCGTCGTACTCGAGGACGTCGATGCGCAGTCGAAGGTGATCCACAAGCGTAGCAAACGTTCTAGTGATTCCGACTTGGCAATCATGTCGATAACCGCAGGGCCTAAAGAAAAGGATAAACCTAAAATCGACGGTCTTTCTTTATTCAGTTTGTCCACTTTTCTCGGTTGTCTAGACGGTCACATCATTGCCGAAGGTATAATAATAATAATGACAACTAATCACGTCGAGTACCTCGATCCTGCCGTAATCCGACCCGGTAGAATGGACTTGAGACTTGAACTTGGATATTCATCACATTACCAAATACAAAAGATGTATCGCAGTGTCGTCGAAGATGAGACGAAAAGTTTCCCTTCGGACGTAATGGCAAAAATTCCAGAAGGACTGTTGCCACCTTGTGAGGTTATGATGACGATGGTACTTTACCGCAAAGAGCCGGAAATAATTCCGGTGAAGATATACGAGTTGGTAGACAAATACTTGAAAAAGTCGACTGATGAAAATGATAAAGATGAAGATAAAATAGTAGAGGAAAACACAGTCGCAGAAGTTGAAGAATCAAAGAAAGATGAAGAAACGAAAAACGAGGATAAGAAGGATGAGGAAAAGAAGGATGAGGAAAAGAAGAACGAAGAAGAGAACAAGGATGCGGCGGATGCACAAGTCAAACCGAACGAGGCTGTGGCAACTGTCAGCAAAAACACAAAGACTGTCACTACAAAAATCCTAATGCATATTAAAATCTTGAATGATGACGATTCATTGTCAAAGGACGAAGACGTTATTGTAAATAAGATTGAAGATACATCTACAACAAACACCGAAATTTCCGATGCGGATAGCACAACAGACGTTGAAGACAATGTGAAAACAAAAGACAATCAGATTTCTAATGTGTCGATACAAACAATTACAGTAGAAGCATGAGAACTGTCGATGCATTTACAACACATAATACAAAAAAAAAAAATGATATATAGATAATTTTGGTAGAACGAGTCGAGAATTTTGTTGTTTGTTAATTAACTTGTATAAATGGAAAAAAAAAGTATGTCTAAGTAAGATCAAATAATAATCAGGCGCAACAAAGGCGTTATATATATAACTCTTATGATAAAATATTATCGATAATAAAGTGTTATTACCTAACGGCTGCGCCGATTGTTTATAAATTAATATCCTGTTTAATAAATGGGAAGCTTAGAACCATGTCTATTACACGCTCGCATAATTCTCGACTAACATTTTAATGGCCATTCCGAGAATGTTCCTCTTGAAGGGCAATTGGACTATAGTTGCAGCGATCTAAACAATCGCAAGTATTTATAACTACGAATGTATATTTAACTCTGGATTTTGGATGCGAATGCAAATAGAGGTAAAAAGTTACATTATTATTATTTTGGATAGATTGGACTCATGGCGGTTTATATTATTCATGAGATTTTATATTCAAGTATGTGTCAAAGTACCTACGAAATCGATTCCGTTTACCGTTAATATAGGAAGCGTTTTGCGATAGAGATGGCTTTACCAGGGAATGAATGAAATACATTTGACATTGAATTTTATTGTAAACGTGCGCAGCTTACTTGTTGTGCAACTTGAATTTGGTCGTCCATTTCTATTTTGACCTTTAACGCGTCTACCACAAGGCTGGACCAACATTTTCCCGATCAAATAACTACAAAGATATTGCAATCAGCTGATGAAAGTTGGGTACGCGCAGCAATAGTCCATCGAAGTAAAAGTAAGAATCCAGAATAAGATACGGTTGGAGTGCGTCGCAAGTTTTCTGAATCTGTCAGATGAGAGAGGGTGGGTAATGACCCAATTATCTTCATGTTGTGTGGTTTAAGCTCTTTAGAGAAAGAGAAAGTTGCTAGCATCTCCAAGCTTTGCAAAGACTTTTTGCAATTTGTTAAGCTACTCCTACTCAATAAAATTCAGTTAGCAACGCGTTGAGAATTACACGATTACCCCGGATCGGTGGATAAACTCGAGAACGACGTATTAACGACTATTGAAGAGTCGTGAATAGGTAAAGTCCTTGCTATTTGTTATAAAAAAACTCATGTCAAGGATGTAAGTAAGGATTGTGCAATACGTGCCTCATACAATAATTATGTCATCATTTGCACTAGAATCAATGCGGTGAGCATGCGGACTCACAACATCATGTCAGGAATGGAACATACTGCTCGGAATATCATGCTTTTCATGCCTTTCATTGATGCTACCGCTGGACAACAGAAACAATTCCAAATTTACTAGTAAGTACTTTTACTATATACAGGCAGAATATACAAGCAATGGTTTAGCTCCTAAAATTTTGCAGGCTATTAAACTGAGTTAGTAGCACTCAGATTACAGAGAGAATTTCTCCATTGAAACGAGCAATTGTTATATAAACAAGTTGTAGATGATCCGAATAACATCTTTGGTTCATCTTTTGATATTTAGTTCTTTGTTTATCATTAGAATAGCCCTTTACGTGGGGGTGTTGAAAAGTTTTGCGCGTGGACTTTTATTTCCAGAAATTTTATAATAATTATCGATACAACTATTTCATTCCCTCAAAGTACTTCTATGCAACGTTGCAGATGATTTTGCCAACGAAGGAAAGGCTTTTCATAGTCGGTTTTTGGGATGGTTTCAGCAACTGCCTGAGCAGCCCTTGTCAAATTTTCGACCTTATTAATCTTTTTCCCATTAGTTCTTTTTTGATTCGAGGGAATAAAAAAAATCACAAGGAACACAGTCTGGACTGTATGGCAAGTGGGGGAAAAGTTTCACTCGTTTGTTATGAAGATACTCTGTTATGATTGTTACCTTAGGCGGTGCGGCATTGTCGTAATAAAGCATGAGGTCACGAACAGTTGTTCTTCCCTTTTTTCTGGAGGCTCAGCTCATTATGTAAATGTAAGAAATTTTTTCATGAGAGATGCCGATTCCGTTGGCTAATTTTCTAATAAAAATGTGCGGGTTATTGCTAACAATATCCTCGACCTTGGCAATTTTGTCTGATGTCATTGGCTTTGCGAGGACGTCCAAAACGAGCCTTGTCTTTAATTTCTTCTTCCCCGTCTTTGAATATAGCAATCCAGCGTCTAATTGTGCTGATATACAATGCTTGCTCCCCTTCTACATTCATCAACTCCTCGTGGATTTGAGTCGCATTTCTGCCATTTTTCCAAGAAGCAAAAATAAAGTATTGTTGGTTCTCACGGCTCGTTTTCTTCCAGTCGGTTTACTGGGTTCTCGACAATGAGATAATGAATTTCCATCTACTTTTTTATATGAAAACATACGCATTATGATTATTCCCATTTTTAGTTAAACTGATGCAACCTTAGCCACACGCAAAACTTTTCAGTATATTCTAATAAAAATTCGTGTTCAAGTTATAAAACAATTTGTTTCGTTTATTCCCTGGTGAAAGTGGCCGGCAAAGTGTAAACCGCTTTTCTCGTCAGCGGCGAATAGGATTGATACTTGCAATCGATTCTATTTAGATCTTTGACATCAGGATTATTGTTTAATTTAACGTTAGTGTAAAGCGATAAGTTCCCCAACCGATAGCTTTTGAAAAAATAAATACTCGAGGTTAAGCAATAATATAGGAACAACGTATACAATACCAATATTTAGATCGTGAGCGAGAGTTATTGAATAGTTTGAAGAAGAAAATAAAGAATTAGAAGCACAAATAAACAATAAAAAAACGGAATAGAAAATTACGAAAAGAAAATTGTCGAATTAAAAAAGCAATTATCTCAACTAACCCTTCAACAACAAGGTGCTCAAATTTAAGTTAAAGTGACTAAAAAATGACTCTGGTTAAAAGGAAAGAAAAAATTTCTTTGAAATTATTCCAACTGCCAAGAAAGTAAACTGGCTTCTGATATCTTTTTGATATAATCCAACGATAATAAAAATATTACTGATAAAAATTATTTATGCTCTTTATGATTATAAACTAATTGTCATGTAAAAGGAACAAAACGAATTGCAGATAAGTTTTTTTACTATGAATAAGACTTAGAGTTATAGTACCTATGCATATTGTTGGTTCATCATAAGTTGGTGTTTATTCTTTATCTACGATATTCCTAACCTCTCGGCCGAGTGCGGATACCAGATCTGGCCAGAATTAATTTTAGACATAAGTTCGTAATACAGGCCGAAATCTGGAATTCCACACGGATTGCAAAACTCCATAGTAATAGCATTAATAACAAATAGCACGACGCTTATTATTTATTGTATTACCAAAACACTTTCTGTTACCAGACTTTGCAAGACGTAAAAACAATCTTTACCAACACACTGTGTTTACCCAAAATAAGATAAAGATTATGTGACACATGACCCTGATCTTCTCCAATTGCCATTCATGTTGTACACAAGATGTTATTCGCACATCATCCAAAAACCTCCTGAGAGAGAGAACCTTCTAGCCCTGCTGACTTGTAGAAATCTTGAAAAGAAAATACCCATTGAAAAACAGGCTTCCCAATCCCTGCCAAGCTTTTAAGTATTCCTCTATTATCGAATCCGATTGCGCTGCTACTTGCTCATGGACGAGAACAAATCTCAGCCTCTCCATGTCACAGGAATACTCGTATATCGTATACAGCGTCAAGTCGAATTCTTATTGTTAAACGATACTTTCGGTCATAAAAAGTACTGGTCTGCTCCCAAGGGGGAAGTCATTGGTCATGAAGACGAGTTAAAGTGAGTCTTTTTTGCTCGGTACGCCAAGGAAGTGTACATAGCCAATCCCCGATCACTTTCAAGGTATATTGTGTTGTACGCTCGCCGCTGCCGCTTCATTCTAACGAGGAAACAAGAATATGATGAATTGTTAGTCTATGCGGATGACTTGTGACCGATGTATTGGTTCACTTCCATTATTTTGTCGGACCAAACGTTATGTATATTTTTAGAGTGGGGGACTAGAAAATTTACTAAACGAGTTGCATTTTTTTCCTACGAATATTGTATTGATTATTCACAGATGCGCACTCCGTAATACTACAGAACTAACCGGGCTGTCAGTAAGAGATTTAAACATAATAGACAAAGACAACTTTAGAGCGGAAATTAAGTATTTAGCTGGAACAAGGTAAGCGTGTCCGAATCAATTCAATTACTTGCATCTACTTCCATTACTGCGCACATTGACCATTACATATTTCACAGCAACTAACCCTTAATACATGTTCTATGCTATCTACAGACCAAAACGTGTTGCATATTATCTTGCCCAAGCCTCAGATCATGTTCGCGTATTTACCGCCAGTGAGGGTCTCAATTTTGCGTGGTTTCCCCTTAATGTGGCGGTTGAAAAAGTCATCTACCGAAGTATGCAAGATGTTGTCAAACAAGCATCAGCCTTTATCGAGAGCAATAAACTCACAAAGTCTTCAGAGGCGCCTGCACGACAACGTCCTCCAAAAAGTCAATTCATCAGCGATAGGTTAGAAACTCGAATGAAAAACCTGAATTTGGCTCTTCCCTTAGACTCGCAACGTCAGGCCATGTCCAGACAGAGACTCGAGCTTGCGCGAGAACAGCGTCAACATCACCGTACAGAAAAACTGGGTAATGGTTTTGTTTCTCCTCTTCAGTCTCCCGTGATGACGTACGACAACCCATTATACAAAACTCGTCTGTGTGAGAGATTTGAAACCGAAGGGTTTTGTCCATACGGACCGAAATGTACGTTCGCTCACGGTACTAACGAATTAAGAGAAAGACCATCGTCAGAAGAAAAAGTTGGCTCTCCCCCAACCGCAAGGGATGGTCCTGAGAACCCATTGTACAAGACACGACTCTGCGAACGGTTTATGAAGGAGAATTTCTGCCAGTACGGACCAAAATGCAATTTTGCTCACGGAGAGCATGAACTAAGAGAGCGGCCACAAAGTTCCGTTCCCCATCGCGATAATGGCGAGCACCATCCAGTTATGAACGAACAGTCTCAGAAGACTGTAGAGCAGTCACATAAACAACAATTTGGATATCATATGGCTTCGCAAAACTTTCAGCACGTGCAAAACAGCACGCAGCAAGGTCAGCAGCACCCGCACCATCTTCCACCTACACCGACTACACCTCAATTTCAGCATGGTTATCAACCAACTGGTGAACAGCGCCCACATCAATTGCGCACATACCATTCAAGTGAATTCGATAGGATGACATCTTCTGCATCGACATTTATTCGCTCTGAAATGCCAAATAATATTTTTGGTCGTATCTCTGTACTATCGCAGTCCGATTCTATGCGTGCTATACCAACGGCTCCTCTCACTCCGCCTGCCAGGTAAAGTGCGCAAGTTACTGTACACCCTTTCTATCTCGTGAATTATTTTCGATTTTTTATAGAAATGGGACTGGGCGAATATGTTGCATTTTACGACTCTGACTGGATTTAATTTTCGCTTGTTAGTTCCAACGATCCGTCTTCTGATAACGATTATCCTAAAGATGATTCGCGTTTAAGGCATTCTGATCATAGCAGTGCAAATGGAGACACTGATCCGCGAGTAGATAGAACTCACAAAAATACCGTTGAGCAAAAGGAAAAAAAGGATGATAAGGATCAGAAGGATCAGAAGGAGCAGAAGGAGGTATTGCCTGTTCAGTCTTCATCATCACCAAAGACCAATAACAACGGTCGACGACGACTACCTGACACTACAGTTACTTTAAAGGATCTTCTGAAGAATGAAAAGGCAAGCAGTCAGTCTTGTTGTATTCAAGTATTTTACAGCAAACTGAATGGTCTCTTTATACCCATGTAAAAAAAATAGATGGATGATAAGAAGTGGATTGTTGAATACTCCAATGACAACGACTTTGATAAGCTCAGGCCAGCGTAAGTCATCCGATGAATTCTACGTTAGGCTGATATAATTGTTAGTACATAAGAATTGAGAAATGCTCAAACATGCTATTTATTTTTTATTTTTGACAGCAAAAAAGCCGAGTCATCGAAATCTAATTCGGATAAACAATCGCACGAGGACAGTCTGATAAACGAGATGAAACGGATATTTGCTCAGTCCGAAGAACAGTCTAGGAAAATTTCGGATGATATCAAAGATACCACTCGATTCGAAATACGACATGATTTGAGCAAACATCAATTGTTTATTGTACTAATTCGGAGCTTGTACGAAGATGCAACTTGGGAAAAAGTAAACCAGGACCTGGTTAAGAGAGAGAATCTATTCAAGAAAGTATGTTATGTTGTCATTCTTTGTTGATGCTTGTGTAGATGTATGGACTGATGATTTGTGATAATTCGTATTTAGTTTGTCGATTCGACTCAGGATCAAATAGCTTTCCTTCGCTCATGGGAGAAGTTTTTCCTGCAACATAATCGACGTCTGATTAGTAAGGCGCCCATCTTATTCAAAATGTTCTATGATCGTGATTACGTTGAAGAAGATTCCGTTTTGGATTGGTATGGGCAGCAGACTAACGAATCAAACGAAGTTAAGAAGAAATGTGAGATCTTTGTCAATTGGTTAAAGAATGCTGAGGAAGAGGAGTCCGACTCGGTCTAAAGTGGATGGGTGTAATGTCATTAGCTGTAAATAGTGCCGAGTGAGAGGATGCAGTCAGGTATTATAACCATCAACTGGAGATCTTATTCCAAAAATAGAATTTATTTTACTTGTTTATTAAATTTATTTTTATCGAGTATTTGTATTTGTTGATCTCGTTTTACGAGAAACACTTTTCCTCAAATCGGTGGGCTATCGAAATTTCACTTTAGGAGCGGCCAAGAATATTGGTTGGTTCTCAGCATTATAGGGAATGGGGAGCAAATTCGACGTGTTTCTTGAGGTGAATTTCGGAGCGGATCTGGGTAATTAAGACTTCTACATGAATACTAGAGAATTGACGTCAGCATATCAAGCCGAGTTCACCATAACCTTCGTTTTTCTTTTTTGTGATTTCTATGGTGATGAATAGGAGGAGGTCCAAAAAGTTTAAAAGAATGGTATTATTTCTAAAAACGTACATATAATAATTTATAATAAATTACTGCATTCCTCGTACTACTACTATCAGACATTCGCTGAAATAATGTATTTTTAGGAAGAATTTAATTGGGTAAGAAACGACGCTAGCACCATTATAAACTACAATGTACGGTAATACTTAATTTATAACAATACGGAACATTCCATTGACAAAGTTCTGTCAGTCTTCCCCACCATAGATTATTGTCGCTATCACTAGAATCGCTTGGATAGTTATGATAATCTACGGATTTAGATATCTACAAACAGAGGGAAACCCTCTATCTAATATTTAATAGTGAAGACATACAAATTTCGAAATTGCCAAATTTAAGTTACATGCAACTTGACCTATTGGCGAATAGAAAAAGAACAACAAAGCCATTTCCGTAATCGTAAGTTTGCATGTTCGTAAATTTAATGTTGAAGAAAATTTCCCCTTATAAACGAAAAAACGCGTTCAATGGTAAACGATCGCAGAACGGTCTTTTGAGATGTAGTGTAAATAAATGAAGCTAAGGCTTTTCTACAAATTCGTAGGTATTTGTAAAGTTTATAGTCACGTGTATCCTGATTATAGATGTTCAAGGCACCATAGTGCCATAAAAACTCGCCTCTATATGGATTGGCGCGGCTCATAGTGCTATATAATGTAGCCGATAAAAGAACGAGTCGATACAGTAAATACGTATTTACCGTATTACCACAAATTCCTTCTCACAATGGAATACCAGAGATAAAAGCGACATCTTGATCTGCAAGCTCATCCAGACGCGATTGCTTGCTCATGGAGCATGGCATTCGCGAATTTGTTTCTTTCTCCAAGAATAGTGTATGGTCTTCGTACAGAAGTGATGTCGTCATGTTGTAATAAACGATAAATTCTACTCTCCATGTCCTGATAATAATGTACTTGAAATGGCAGCCGCGTCATCTTGAAGACTTCTTATTATATAGGTATGAATTTGTGACCTTTTTATTGTGTAGTCAACGGTAATATATCACAATACTCTTAAAAGTTATCAACATTCTCTGCAGATGCTTGACGCAGTCAGTCCTAAATCTGATACGATTGAGGCATTGCACTCAAGCCATTGCTTCAACTCAGATATAGCGTGTTGAAGGTAAGCCTCTGAAGGTTTTGTTTTAAATTCTGTTTCGACTGTGGTCGTGAAAAAATGAACGTTATACTTCGAATCGTAAGCGCAATATTGTAGATTCTTTATTGCAACGACGCTTTTTTCCTGTTATGAGAACAATCAATGTTAACATTGCTGGCAACAACAAAGTTATACAAATCGGTTCACTACTTACTAGAAGGGCATTGTACCGATCACTACGTATTTCGATTAGCGCCATCTGCTTGCTCCTATCTATGACCATGATCTTACGGACTCGCGTACACGCCGTACCATCACGCTCACTCCCAGTTTCGTCGAGGATCACTACAAAGCCAAACGATATTCTGTAATACCTTCCCACATTTGAGTTTTTCGAAATGAAAAATACTAACCAAGTATTAGGACTACTAAATCTAGCTCATCTTTTTGATTTAGACCCCACAAGTTGTCACACAACATAATACTACGCGGAATGTAACGAGAACGTTCCAGCATGTTTGGATCAATAGGAGCCTCCATCCATCTTGTGGAGCGTCCTGTAGAAGATAACCTGAGAAGAGCATGACGGTCTAATGGATAGCTCTGATGATTGGCTGTCGTGACAGAATATACCTAATAGATTCCATCAACAGTAAGTTGCCAAGGAGTGATAATTGAAATACTTGCTCGGTATTACCAACCTTATATCGATTTCCTTCTTTGATGGTATCATTAAGTAACTCATCAGGCTGCCATATCGTTAAAGTAGCCTCTCGAGCTTCTTTCTTTGACATTTGATAATCACATATACGAACTTTGAAGAAAGGTGTCACTGACCGGAATTTATTAGCTCCCTACAAAGAGTCGGGGTAGTGTTGCCTTTGGTTAAATTTTTTCAACTGAACAAAACCCAAACGAGTATGATTATCGCCTTGACCTCCAAACTTTTGCTGATTCTAGCTTGTAAACGGTCCATTCTTTCTTGTTCTTTAAGTAGTACGAAATCGTTAAATAGCCTCCGTCGTTCTCCAGACAGATATTCAACGATATTTGTCATTTCCATACCCGATTGCATGACTTCATACAACTCTTCGACAGTGCTTTCATTTTTTATATCTGTAGATACGAGTCATCATACTAATTGAATTCTGACAAAATAATGGACATAGAAACAATACCTGTTATAGATAACCTTCTGCGCATATTATCACTGGCCGCTCGGTACTGTCCTGATTTTGACTGCTCGTCCTTGTAGTCGTCAATTGTTCTTTGTACAAATAAAGCGATTGCTTCCTACAAAAGACTTTAACTCAATTTATGCAAGAACATATAACAGTGTCTTGAGTTCACTTTACCTCATGCTTTCGCCTTGCTTCTTCTTCTTCTTTTGCATTTCTAACGACCACATTCCCATCGGCAATTATTTCTCTATACAGCATCGGATATTTACGCATTACAATCACATCGATGGCAGGCACGAAACCGCCGTCAGGAGATACACCGCGTAATAGCGAGTATGCTTGTAAATTTCTGGAACCCAATTTAGCATCCCATCTAGCAAGCCTCGTTGCATTAGCCGAAAGCTTCAGACGAATCGAAGATGGCACCTCCAAAGCTGATACAGCCTCCGATCCCCCTATTAGCTAATATAGAGGGCTTGAGTTTCAGCAATTAAGCTATGTTCTTTAGAAAATTCCAACCAATTACTGTTCCTCACTTTCGCGCCCCAGATTTCCAATTTACTGCCGATTCGTAATTTAGATTTCAAAATAGCTCGTTGTAAAGGTTGATCAATATATGCTCGGATTTTATACCAACAGTCAGTCAACTCCATGCCGTAGTAAACTGAAAATAATACATGACTTAGCCTTCAAATAATTTCTAAACGACGTCACATATCCAATAAAAAATCATACCATCACAAGTTGTATCTATTGAAGCCGAATCTTCTATGAAAATGTCGGATATGCATAAAACCATCGGATAAGTAGCTGGAGAGTCTCGTTCTATGATACGTTTGAGTACCGATCTTTGCGCAAGATTGTATTCACGCTCGTATCTTGAACAAAAACATTAGTAAGCATATAACAATAATATCCTCGTCAGGTTTAATGCCTTTACCTGTATCGCAGTTGTTCTATTACTTTCTCGATACACCACCAATCTCGAAATTCATTCGGAAAGCATCGGATCATGCTCGCGATCTTCCAGACTATCCAACGATAATGGTTCTTCACCCAACACTCGTCAATCGAGCCTGGTTCCGCACCACACCGAATCAGTTCAGCCAATAGCTCTCTTGAACCCCATGTTCTCTTTTCGTGTGGAAGAGTTGAATCAATTTCCGACATAGCAAATTGGAAACGGGACGCAGTGGAGGGCGTCATATCGATAATTTCTTGCAAACTTGGCGGAGAGCATTATAGAATCGAACTACATGAGTTTAAATAACACATAAAATTTCATTTTAGATTATAAACTTACAGTCCGAGGTTGCGCAGTTCGTTCTCGCTGAATGATAGTGGCAGAGTTTTGACAAAGTCTTTAAGTTTGACACGTAGTTGAGGTAATGCTTTTAACGCGATAGGGGAAGGATGAATACATGAGTGTGGGTGTCAAGCAGTAGTACATAACCGTTTCCATACCATTTGCTAACATTGCATAGAGATCCCACACATGGATGCTGTGTTAGTAGAGTCGTGAGTTTCAACAATCAACGGACGACCAACTTACAATTAAGATTAAAAAGCGATAGTTTTCGTTTAGCCTCGGGTGGGAGAGCAAGGGTTTTGGGCAAAAGTTTACTTGCGGATTGTAGCGAGTACGGATGCAATCGGTTAAGTGATTTCCTACTTTGACATACGTAAGAGTTGCCACCAACATTCTTTGGGTGTGTACGTTGAGGATAGTCTTCGGTGTTGACTGTTTTTGTAGTGATACGCTTCATCGACGGTATTTTTGTATTTATCTCTTGTATATTCGCATCGATAAGGCTTCTCTTCTTTACGCGAATTCTATCTCCCATATCCTTACCATCGATCGTATCTTTTGCAATTGCAAAAGATTGATTATTTACAAGGTTATGAGCCTTCTCCAATGCCTCTGCCGAAGGTGCAGGTAAACTACGACCACTCGCACAAGAAAAGCCGCATTTGATGACAGTCTTGGACGCGTTTCCAGGTCTCGAACCCAATTGTTCGTGATTTATTTCTGTAGAAGCAAAATCCGAGAAAATTGGTTCTGTTCTTCTCCCATTCACTCGTAATTCAGACGGCGAGATCGCGTCATCTATGACCGGGTCGTCTTGATCTAAGAGAGCGCGCGCCGCTTGAAGATCTTTATCTGAGAAAGCGGGCAAACTGCGACCACTCGCAAAAGAAAAACCAACTAGAGTCTTCGAGTTCGTTTCTTTTGTAGACATAGTAAGTAAAAGTACGACGCGAAGTCTCTTTCACGTGTCTGTGACTCATGATAGAAATATAAAATAAATTTAACCAGTAATAAAACTCGAGTAATTACATAAGACCGCACATTATTAAGAAAAGTAAGCATAATAATAATAATAACAAAATGAAATAAATTTAACCAGTAATAATAAGACTCAAGTAATTATATAAGGGTGCAGTTATTAAAGAAAAGAAATTATCAAGGTAACAACATTAGGAAAAGAAAGAATGTCATTATCCGGCAATCCTTTGCAATGAATACAGAGTACACGCGCGTAAGGATTCATCTTGCCAATTATCGAGAGGGTTTTTCAGCCAAGAGCACACACAATATGACTGATGCAAACTAGACATGTTCAGTTATCGTGATTTACTGTTTAGACGCACTCCATCCAATTCGAATTATTTCGATATTATCACGCCCTCTTGTGATTGTTTCGAAAAAGGAGATAAAGAAATAGATATTCAAGAAATAAGGGTTTAAACTAATTATACATAGATTATTCTAGTATTCGAAAGTCGGACGCGCAATGTCGAACTTTTTGGGTTGATCGTTCATATGGATGAATGCGTGTGGGGTGGTATTTGATATGCATTCAAAGTTATGAAACTCCGTACATAATTGTCGTCATGTACATCTCAGCCTATTTCTATACATTGTTTCAGTCTTTTTCACCAATTCTGAAAGGCTTTATAGTAAACCTCTTTAGTGTGTTATGAGAAACTATCTGGACAGCTTGTAAAAGACTTTCAACCTTCAAACCCTTTTTTTTGCTCTGTTTCTTTTTATTCTAAAAAATCACAAGGAACTAGATCTGGATTGTAATAAAGATGTGGCATTAATTAGACTTATTAAATAAAAATAATACAGAGTCAAATTAAATATCACTTTGAGCTTAGATGCGAAAGCATCCTCGTGGAATGAATCTCACACTGCTCTTGACGACTCATCTTAATTATATTTTTTTATACCTTCAATTAATAGCGCTTCGCGCGTCAAAATATGCGGACATGTTTTTACGCATGGAGTTTACGCGTAACCATTTTCTATCCGATAAAACAAATATCACTATATATTTTCTTTGATTCATTTTGCACCATCTCCAGTTTTTTAGCATGGATATCACAAGCGCCATGTTTAGAAAAAGTCAATTTACCACATTCTTTACAAGGTACGCGTTTAGGGGAATTCCAGTGGATTTGACACCCTGTAGGTCTATAACAGCCCCGGTTACATACATCTCCAGCCCTAAGCATATAAGGACAGCGATAAAATGCCACATTTTTATGATGCAAAGATAGATCAACTATATATTTCGGAATTTTGAATTGTTTGCTGAGATATCTTGCAATGCTAATGCTAAAATTTGGAAGGAATCGCACTACAGTTTCTAAGATAATAATTCCACAAGTCCTTTGGACCTGTCATAAGAATTGTCTAAATAACAAATACGTCATTTTTAACTCGCTTAACTGTAGGTGTTTCAGATGTTTCCAGTAGAGGTGATGATCCTGGTGATGGCGTAGAATAATTTTGCTTTGCTAACTGGGTTAATTTACCGTTAAGCCATAATAATAAATACGAGTCGTAGATAGTGGCTAAAAATCATCGTTCCGATCATTCGAATCATATCTTCAGCAAGACGTTGCTAAATAGAATAGTTCTTTATATTCTAATAAAAATCCGATTCAATTATAATTAATTCGTTTATTCCCTGATAAAAGATACTTAGCGCCGTTTGGCGAAGTGTTAAACGCTTTCCCCGTCAGCGACGAATAGAATTTACTCTTGCCGATAAATTCTACTTAGTACTTTTGCAAATAGGGTTATTGTTTAATTAATTACTAGCACCTTTGAATAGTATAATTCCCCGTTCGATAGGCCGTAAATCTAATCCCACTACGGAAATCGCTGAGATACTCGAGTTTAAACAATAATCCAGGGACGCGTATACAAAAGCGATAATATACATCGTGAATATTGAAAGCCTGTTTTAAAGGTCACTAATTGTACGATATTTAGTTTAAAGTAGGAAGAGCAAAAGCTTCCGTTGGAAACGAACTAAAATCCCAAAACGGCTAGTGCACCGCAGCTCTCCCAAGTGTAAGCTAGTCCGACACATGTAAACATATTTTCCATATGTATGGGTCCAAGTTATTGACCGATGATGTTTGGAGAACATTTTGGAGTATGTTCGAAGAAAATGGATTTGAAATTTATGAACAGCATGAGCAAATCACCATACTTGTGCCGCAAACAGACGAGCTGATAGCCAAAGACTTACTGTTAATGAATTAATGGAAAGAGTGTGGGATATGTATTGGAGGATAGAGGAGAGCGGTAGTAGAGAGCAGGTAGATAGTTTCATTGAAAACTCAGAAAGATCTTTAAACCTGATTTAAAGGACAAGCCTGAATAGTGTTTATAATATTTGATTTTATTATTGTCACATGATACCCAAATTTGTGGTGGTGCTTGTGATGATTCGTTAGCGTAACGGTAATACTTGTCTAGCATGGAACTGTATCCGGAAATTTCGCGTCTTGCTCTCGCAAGAGACGAAAGAACGGCCCTACGTACATATTTTACTAAAAATCCTACTCAGAAGGCAGAAGCGATTGCTCTTCTGCCAACTTGTGAAGACGACGATGCAAAGATCCAATATCTGCGGGACCTCATAAAACCAGAAGCAGGTAACGACTTTGTGACTCGGGCGTTGGGGACATAGAGTAGTGTGTACATAGGGTAAAGCGTTGCCGGCTACCCGTTCCTATTTTTGTTATAGTGTTTGCAACCTTGGCTAACTCGTAGAGTAAATATGCGAATCGTTTCCTGTCCATCCTTCGTCCATCATAGACAGTACCGCTTTGACTCCTAGCCGTGAGCAGGCTTTATTAAGGCAACTCGATGATCTACGGGTGCAGTTCCAGAAACCCGTCCACAGTATGTTTGTTCAAATGGTTTCAAATTTGCATAGGAGTTAAACAATTGTGTTCTATGCCTTTGTTTAGAATTTGAGCTAATCGTGAAACCAAATAAAAAGTCTTTCATGTGGATCGCGAACCTAGAGACCGTGACACTGGCAACCTTCGCTGACACCATCTTCAACAAGTACCCTCAGGAGGATAAAGAAGACGTGGCCTTTGATTTTACAACGAACACGAAGGATACATACTATCCCAGAACAGACACTCAATTCCGGGAACTGCTGCGGCTACTGGTTGCCAAAAATATCCGGATGATGACGGTGACGATAGAAACCCCCTGTAAAGCCTTCAGTGACTGGAGTTTTGCGGAAGTCTGCCGCCACTATGAGCTCTCTACAGACGATGATGCATCGCTCACAGACGTCTTCCCGACTTTCGAGCCCGGCATCAAAACCCTTGACGACGAATCGGAGCAGGCTGCGCTCAAGCATCTCCTAGTGGAATTGAACGAGCGGATCAAGGCCACCCCCTACGATCAAGCGAAGGAAACGACGAAATCAATTTACACTTATCCGTATCTGCTCGCCGCAGTAAATCTTTTCAAAGGAAAGATCTCACTTCGTCCAGAGAGGCAGATTACGGGGAAGAACGGGAGGGGACCTGTGGATTATGCATTCGATGCACGCAATGGGACGGCAGTGGGAGTAACCGAGGTAAAGCAGGACGACTTCAAGAAGGGTATCGCCCAGAACGTTGTGCAGCTCGAGTCAGCTTTGGTGAGTACGGCCCTCTAAAGTGCATCGCTCTAAAGTGCATCGCTCTAAATCACTACACTTTGACAGAACACCCGCAAACGCAAGGCCGATGAGATGCTGGAGAAGTCGTCTCCCAGCCGGTGCTTCGGCATCGTAACCGATGCTGAAAAATGGTATTTTTTGGAATGTGTGCTGAATAACGGCATACCGGCTTTCAAACTCTCTAACCCCCTGTGGGTGAGGTACAAGAGCAAGGACATTGAAAACGAGGTGGAAATGGTGGTTGAACGAATTTATTGGCTCCTGGAGAGGGTGCTAGGGGAGGGATATAAGAAACAAAAGCAAAATGATTAAGAACTGCGGAAAGCCTGCATACAACGTGTTTCTGTGCGATGCATTGCTTCCACTGTGTGGACTTCAGAATTTAGTGGTTACTTGCAAGTATTATGAAATTGTGCATGAAAAAATTAACGTGCTTCTATACATGCGTACATCAGTACCAAAATCATTATTGCCTTACATAGTGAATAGGACGACACTACTATCGTCGGACTGCTATGTGCAAAACCCAATTATGTAATATTCAAATTGATCAAAATAAAAAACAATGATTTTTTGTGCACAGAATATATCGAAATTTAATTCCACAAGTCTTTGGACCTGTCATATAAATCGTCTAAATAACAAATACGTTATTTTTAACTCGCTTAACTGCAGGTGTTTCAGATGTTTCCGGTAGAGGTGATGATCCTGGTGATGGCGTAGAATATTTTTGCTTTGCTAACTGGGTTAATTTGCCGTTAAGCCATAACAACGTATGCTATTACTATATTTAATTAAGAAATGACATAAATGATCATCCTTAAAACGTGGGTAAATCCAAACGATTATTTAATCCTAGACGAGATACATACGCGAAGTCCAAGCAAACCTTTAATAAAATCTACTAGAAGGTAGCCCATTTCTGAAGGAGTTTTTGGGATTACTAGGACCATCATCTCGTTAAAGTAGTAGAAATTTGTGGATGGATCATAAGTCATCGAATATATCACCCACCGATAACCTACAAATTCATTATGACAAAGGTGAACAAAGTTTACCAACAGAACTTGAAAAACTTTGCATATTACGTACGATTGACTTGTATTCCAACCGTAAATATACCCTCAAGGTCTTTCTTTTTCAAATGTAACACATCACGTAAATTGTCCAATATGTCTTTCAATTCTATTTTTAGTGCGGTATGATCTTCAGATTCATCATGTGCTATTTCCGTGTTTCCAGCATTTGTTGACTCGGAAGTCTTTTCAATTCTAAAATATTCAAAAATTCGAAACAGAATAAATCTCACGAACATTAACCTTTAGATTACTAACATACCCATAGACTTCAAAGGTGCTATCAAATTCCTCAAGTAAATCAGTCATCAATGGAAGCACGATTCTTGAGATATAGTCTCTTTCATGAACAAGTGATTGATCTCACGTCGAAAATTCTTATGACTTTAGGGCAGGAAAAAGATATCGTGAGCAACTATTAGTATAAAGTCGTAATCTTGAAGCAAATTGTCGAGCCAATACTCGGGGGAGAGCGAAACGAATATTGACCTTGGGATTTAGCCTTTTTCCAACGAGATCCTTGATTATCTCTACTTCGGTAAATCCGCTAGTGACGTTTGGTGACCTTTTAGTTGGGTTTAAACGCTCACGATGCTAGGTTCGATTCTTGCGTACGCTTTCTCTGGATTTCTAATTAACCTCGAGTAAATACGTCTATTTCTCTCGGTGGGATTATGTCGAAAGCCTATAGGTCGGGAAACTATTCTACTAATCGCGATGTCTCAATTAATTAGAAATCTTTATTGTCAAGGGAGGATAAAATCGAGGACAAGATCGATTTTATCAAGCACCGATCAAGAAAGCGTTTTCAAGCTTTATCGGCGCTCCACAATATACAGTGACTCACAAAACCGGCTCAATGTTTGTAACCATTGGATTTATTTACTCATACTCTGTCAATTTCCAACCAATATTAATGAAATTTAAACTGAAAAGAGTCTTACTTTCTGGCTTTTAATACAATTTTGTTTTATTGAAAAAGGCTTGAAACTTTTTGAGTTATAAATTTTTAAAGATAATCAATGCATTGAGCCAGTTTTGTGGCCTATATATAAAAAATGGTTATAAAATTTCGTGCACCCTATGACGTAATGCATCTGAGCAGGTGTGAACTATTATGTAACCGAGTATGATGCAAACTCTGCGGATTGTTTAAGTCATCGGTCGAATTAATGTACAGGTCGAATTAACGACAGACTTACTTAAGGAAGAACAATCATATTAAAAAATCGGGTCGAATTGACGACAGACGTACTTAAGGAAGAACAATCATATTAAAAAATCGGGTCGATCGAATTACTGGAAAAGTCGAATTATATTATCAGCAGTCGACTGTATAATAAATCGTGAAATTAACAATAATATGAGTTAAACAAATGGGCTAATTTTCTTACCAAGTTATAGTAAGAGTTTACCCTTATAGTACCGTAAACTGCCATGAATAAGAGCCTACCGTGAATAAGGGCCCCCTCATATGAAAAAATGCTGCCGTGAATAAGGGCCGTAATGCTATGAAATAACCGCCCCCTTATCACGTCAACAATTGACGTCATATATTACTTTATTTAGTATCGCTGATTTATTATAATGATTCATCGTCTTCACAAACATCCTCTGGTAAAACTATAGCTGGTTCATCCCCGCTCACAACACCTTTCCATATTAAGTCGTCTTCTGTACCATTGAGATCATTAGATAGCCCACAGGTTTTAAAGGAGTTCACTATAATCTCGTGTGGAATATCATCCCAAGCTTCCCTAATCCAATGACACATTAAAGAATTATGTAATAAACAGAGATAACGTGGACAGTTGTTACGTGATGATTCGTAGATCATTTTGCATTGTTTTTAAGGCGCAACCAAACATGCCATGAATAAGAGCCCCCTTATATGATGAAGGTGGGCCCTTATTCATGGCAGTTTACGGTAATATTAAAAACACACTGCCTAATCTAGCTAATTTTTTTTCCGGACATTTAGGCTTGTAATGCCCACGCTCCCCACAATTACCACACTGGTTTTGATGCTTAACTGGCCTCAACTCCTCTGCTCGCTTGATTCACTTAGAACTTTTCGGGCGTACTTTTGCTTTGCGTTTTTTTGGGTTCTGAAGGAATCGATCAATTGATGGATTGTTTTCTTTATCTTTTTCATCCTCATGTGAATTACTATTGTTATTAGTGATGCTGTTTTCATCAGCCTGATTATCTACATGTTCACTTTCTTGCATTTCAGTTAATATACTTAGTACTGACTAGTTGCGTGTTTCTGGGTTTGTACTCGCCGCTGTGCACGCAAAGTACTGTTCGTTTTCGTACAACTCCATCGGGAGTTTTCTCAACGCGGCCTTCCTTAGTTTAAATCCTTCTTGTCTCGCGTACATGTTGATTGTATCAAACGCTTCCTCCCAATTCCGAAAAACGCTCCCTTTGTGCAATGTTTCTTTAAAATGTCCATTCCCGTTGCCATCCTCTACCACAACGTCGTATATCGGCCCATCCAGTGCAAGTTTGTTGAACTTGTCGAATGTCGGTAGGCTGAGGCTGTCATTATGTGCCATCCTTTCCTCCTCCTAAAAGTATTTACATGTACACACACAGATATAAAGCATAAAGAAGAAACTTATAACGTCCATAAAGCATAAAAGGTAACTTATAACTCCATAATACATAATGAATAATCACCGGTTACAAAGATAGAACTTGTTTCTAGCAAATACAGTAACAGAGAATAAGCTAACGTATACATTGAGAACAGTACAGGATGATTAATAGCAGGAACTAACCTAAGAGATTAAGCGTTTGTCGCTTATTATAAGTGACCTATTTACAACGTTCGATTATGGAGTTATCTATAATTTAATAGAGAGAAATGCAAGGAAATTATAAATATAAAAGTCGGAAGCGTTCGGCCCCTCTACCCAGTGTCCATGTGTCATTTGCTTAATTTTCAGTGATGGGATGCGTTGTTTGCAGTGGTTCATTGAGATTCTTAAGAACGCAGCGGACACATCTCTTTGCGGCGTAAGTGGTGTCTGACCGGTCTACACTCGTAACGTACGTACCGATTTGCGAACAGCCTACGCGTAAGCAAGCGCATAATAATAAATGTCAAATAAATCAAGAATATTAGATACTGGCGAACAGCCTACGCGCAAGCAAGCGCATAATAGTTGACACTTACGAATCCGTGGGCAGTACGTTATAACTTATATACTTATGCACATTCGCATGAAATAACCTCCTAAACAGACACGAAACGGAAAGAAGAACTTACCACTTTGAGCAGAGTCAGCCAGCATCATATAGTGAACGTTAACACGAAACGCTGATTGGTTGCATTAAACTTTTTATTACGTAATAATTTAGGGATGCACGGCCGTGCGGGTGCACGAATTTCATTTACCCTTATATTTATTATCCAGATGCTAATTCCCATAATAAAGAGAGTGTTCAATCATGTGATCATATGCGTCATCAATCAAGGACTAATCAAATTTGTACAACAGAATCTCTCACATATTACCGCCTAAAAAACCTCCATACTACAGTTGTACAAAAAACTAAATATAACCATGTCGATAAAGCTCTTCTGCCTTGAAAAAGGAAAGACTCCTGCCGTCCAGCACGCCTTTCCAGTTAATATCAGTAGGGATGAGACTGTTGGCGACCTCAAGGATGCAATAAAGGCGAAAAAGGCACCATATTTCAACGACTTTCCTGCTGACCATCTCAAACTATGGTTTGCAAACATCCCTGCTGATCAAGACGACCAGATTAATTCACTTCCCTGGCCAAACAGCATCCAGTTATTACCAATAAAAAAGGTCAGCTACTATTTTTCCAACGACAATGAGCCTCTTGATGAGCATATCCATGTGATCATTGAGGTTCCTGCTGGTAATTAGTTATCTTGCTTACTGCTCACGCTACACATTAAATTCCCTCACTGTCGTTGTATTTTGGTATACTGTTTGTGATGTTGATTAACTTGTGCTTTTTTTTCTTTCCTGCTTCTATCATCTAACACCCTCCAAAAACACATTCACCTTATCGTTGAAGTTCCCATTGCCACCGGTGAGTGAGTCGTATAAGTTTAGTCAAAACGATAGTAGTTGCTTCATAATGTAAACCTACAACTCTTTTCTTAGTAAAGGTTTTGACTGGATCCCCGGATGAATTATATGTTATTGTCGATGACTCTAATATTTATATCGAGGGAAAGTTCGCTGTCGCCGAAATGGAGTGCATCGGCGTTGTTGATGGCAAAAGAAAATGTTTATACTTTAATCAGCTTCGGTTGGATTATGGACGGCTTCTCAAAATAATTCAAAAGGAACGTACCATAGGTGAAAATCCAATTGTTGTGGGTTCTATTCCCCCAACTGATTCACTGTGGGAAATGATTCGAAATGATGGCTTTACAGTAAAGACGTACCCTCGAAATGCCGATAACCGTGAGAAAAGGGTGGATATGAGAATTGGACAATATATAAACGGAATCTTCCGTGATAAGGTGCCTGGCGTGTTGGCGCTGGTCGCTGGTGATGGTGACTTCCAACCCGTAATACAGGATGCCGTTCAGTTAGGGTGGATGGTCGAGATATACTTTTGGAACTCTGGTAAGAAACTGTTGTCATGATCGCTTGTTCTTGTTCCTTAGTATTAGATCTCTTTTTGAAAATGTTTGTGCCATGTATATTTTTTGCGCTATAGCCAACTCACTTGAGCTATTGTGCGATGAAAATACCCCCCCATTAGGAGTCTCAGGTTTATTGCTTGACCTTGAGCTGGGATCTAAAAAACCCAAAACGAAGGAGCCGGTTTTCCATTCTCTCGATCCTTTTTATAAAACCTTCTCATATGGGTACGGATTTCTGCATAATACAAAAATCCACAAGCACGGAAAGCCAAAAAACATGGAGGTCCTTCATTTCACCAGCCATGACTTTTCCCTTTGGAAAAATGACAAGATAGTGATTTTTGATAAAGGTATGTTCGTTTGGTGGTTCAAAGAAGAAGATAATTTGTGGATGTATTTTAAAAATCAGCAGGATTTGGGAAAAGCAAGGGATTTGATGCTCAAGACCTATCCGGAGATTATGGAAGTAGTACATTAGCGAGCATTTGGCTTTACAATGTATCATAGGCCTTGTAAATATACTGTATTTAGCTTTAACGCTGTTATTAATAAAGCAATCCTTTCTATACATGTATGAAATGTGGTCATCGGAGGCTTTATTAGTTCCCTGATGCGAATTCATATCTGCTGACTGGGAATTTTTGTCGACCAACCTGATATCACTTCAATACTGAGTTTCTCCAGAATTGTGATTACATCTTTCTCCAGAATTGCGATTACATCTTTCTCCAAATATTCATTAAACGTCTTTTTCAACAGTCCAGATCACATGTAGGGGTCATGCCCTTACGAAATTCAGATTGTCATTTGACATGCCTTTAAATCGCATCACGCACCACGACCCAAGGCATTTTTCTTCGCCAAAGTGATCAGTGTTATAAATTGGATTTTTTAAACTCGATAATTTAAATAAATCTGCACCTTATATAAAAGTTGGTAATAAAACATGTCATCAGAGCTTGAATCTCAATCTGCTCAATCAAAAATCGATTCGTTGCAAGAATTAAATTTGAAGCTTTTAGCCGAAATTTCTGAGCTTAGAAAGGAGAATGCTGAGGTCAAGGCTGAGAATACAAAATTAAAACAAGCTATAGAAGCAAATGCTGAGCTCAAGACCAGATTTGAGGAGTTAGAAAAGAAAAATAAAACAGATACCAGTAATCTCATTGCTGAGAATATTGAACTTAGAGACAGGGTTACAAAATTGGAACAGAAGCAGACACAAAATGATACTGTACACGTATTAGAAGATTCTATTCTCCACGAAGCATCATCTGATATTTCTTCCAATATTCATACATACTCGTCCGAGCCTAAATCGTCGGAAAATAAAGAGATTGATGAGTTTCTAGATTTTAAAAGTAAGGAAAGAGTTACTAGCGAGATAAAACAATGCAATAGGGAAAAGAAGCTTCAATGTGAATCAGCTGAAGACCAATCCCAGAATTTAGTTTCAGATACTTCTATATCTCCTGAGCAAAATCATGTAAGGGGAAAAGAAAAATGCCAAGAAATTTCCATCATGAAACATGACGATCGGCAAAAAAACTTATCGAATCCTAATATAGAAACCAAAGAAAATTTATCACAGGAAAGCGAGTGTCCAAATCATAACATTTATATGTCTGAGGAGCCTGATGAAATTGAGCCCACTAAAAGTCAGTGTATAGAGCGAGAATTAATAAAACAATTGCGAAGTGATAGAGATATTATCCCACCGGCTTCCTCTGAGATTTACAGAGCATCAATCATCCCAAATTACAACACAAAGCTTGATCTGTTTATTCCAAAACGCAATACGAGCTAGACATGAAGAAATCTTATCTTGGTACTATTATTCTGATAGTTTTGAAAATAAAGTTATTGAAATTTGTCGTGAGACAGGAGTTACGGATAAAACTGCCAGAACACAATTATATAAGGAAATGTTAAACCATTTACCTGGCATTACATCAGGAAACTTGCGTATGAAAACTCTAAGAGCCAAAAAAATTCATATGTTATTTGGGAAAGATGGAGTTGGAATAAATAAAATTAAGCAAGTTACCTATAGCATATATGCCATCTCAAGTCTTACTAATAGTCAAATTCAAAATGTTATCAAGAATGTAACTTCAGTAGAAGTGCCAGAAACCGTCACGAATCGTGACGATCAGATTAATGCAGAGATGAATGCTTCATCTAATGCATGAAGTGCACTTTCTCCGAAAGATAATATATTGCCAGAAAATAAGATTCATGACCATGCTTACTTTCGTAATAATACATTGTTGCGATATTCTGATCTATATAAAGTATTTATTTCTGAAAAATTTGATCGTTATGGAATTATTGAGGGTTCATTATGCCCAATATGTAAACTAAATCATGAAGATGGAAAAAGTGTAAAAGGTAGATACGAAGCTGGATCCTATTTTATTATATGTGGAAAGCGTGAAATCGAAATAACAGAATAAATCGTAAAGTCATTGTATAGCCACTATGTGACTGCCTTCAGTAATTATTAATTAACGATATTTATTTTTTTTTAATTACTATTTCGGGGTATGCACAACCCATACTTAATTTGAATTTGCAGTCGTATAAAACAATAATATGGATAAAGCCTATTTCGGAGAAATGACACTTCGTGCCTTAACCCCTGAATATTTGGACTGGTATGCTAAATTGGTTGAAGTACCAAGTTCTTTGACTGATAAAATTCGTTTGATCTTATATAGAGCATATATGGAAGAGACTGGGCTCGATCCCTGGGTAAAGCCTGAATCTTCACGAATCGAAAAGGATGCTGATGATCATATCTTACAGGACAGTTTACCGGAAACTCAGATAGTAGTGCCAAACAAAATTTACACCTCCTCAATTTCCAAGACTGATCCAAACAAAAAACGCCTTTATCAGTATGCCATCGAACATGGAATAAATCCCAAAAAATTTTCAATCATTACAGAGGCTGAAAAAAATAGGTGGGCCATGGGGTGTTTTCGTGGGGATTTGGAAAGAGATATACGTTTCTATCGTGGTGGAATAGAAAG